AGAATGAGGGGAAATGGCCTCAAGTTGCACTAGCGGAGTTTAGACTGGGTATTAGGAAAAATTTCTTTACTGAGGGAGTGGTCAAATATTGGAACAGGCTGCCCAGGGAGGTGGTGGAGTCACAATCACTGGAACTGTTCAAACAGTCTGTAGGCGTGGCACTTCAGGACATGGTTTAGTGGGCATGGTGGTATTGGGTTGATGGTTGGACTTGATGATCTTAAAGGTCTTTTCCAGCCTTAGTGATTCTGTAATTCTTTTATTCTAATGCCCAAAATTATGTCCTTTATTTAGGAAAAAAGTTTTATAATGTACTTATTCCCTTTTACACGTCCAGTTCAACTCTTACTGAAGTAAATGTTAGCTCTGAGGTGTCTAGTGAATGTAAAGAGAGACCATCAGAAGCTCCTGACTCCCCGTTTCCTAATGGTGAGATTTTTTGCTTATGGCAGCAACTTTTGTCATTTCCATATCAGCAGGCCCTTAAGAAACTTTGTCAAACGTGTCATGAAGCAGGAAAGTGTAGTCAAGAAAAGTAGACATTGGTGTGCCATTGATAATGTTTTTAATATGTTTCACTATTACTGCCCAGTGTATTTATGGAAGAATAGGAAATAGCATAAGAAGAGCTACGTTATCTTTGAGGATAAAGTAGTAGCTTGCAGTTTAGAATCTGTAATATTACGAAGAGCGAGAAGTTCTGGAAAAACTGTATGTGGACCTGTTTGGTTTTGCTTTGTTTTGTTGTTCTCCACTGGCTATAGAAACAATATTGAGATTCCATGTTTTCTAACAGTGAATGGGGAAATGGAGGAATTTAATTGCTATCAGATGACACACCATGTAATACCTTAACTGACATTGAACACTTCTTGGCAACAACTACTTGCAGCATAGTTTGTTAAATATTTAAGCCATTGCATCAGTGAGATGCTTCTACCATTTCTCAGTTAACTCTCCCACTCTCATAGCATCCTGGAATGCTCAAGAATGGATGAATAACTTAAGTAGAATCATAGAATATCTTGAGTCAGAAAGCACCCATAAGGGTCATCGAGTCCAAATCCCTGCTCCTCATAGGACTCCCTAAAACTAAGTCCTGTAAGAGCATTGTCCAGATGCTTCTAGAACTCTGACAGGCTTGGTGCTGTGACCACTTCCCTGGGTAGCCTGTTCCAGTGACTGACCACCATAAGTATGTGAATAGATAAACATTTGACCTAAACCCCTCTTTGAGTCATTGCCGTGTGAAATGTATTTAGCCTTATTCTAACAAATTATGACTATTTAAAATGTAATCTTGATATCTTATTTTACATTAACTTAGTTAAAGGATGGAGTACCTGAAAATCAACTGAGGTGATGCTAGTCATAAGATGATTGGGATTTAAGAATGGATGGTGAGAGATGATTAATATATTGGAAGTGGGTCAGGTTTTTATAAAAAACAAGCATCACTAAAAAGTGAGTGATGGGTGGCATACTGCACCAGAAAAAATTGATTTTCCAACTTCAGTCATGATGATCTGAACTTGGAAAAGATAAATAAAGTGAAGGCAGAAATACATATCTCGCTTTTGTTCTCTGACTTGAACTGCTATTCACTCTTCCATTTGCAAGAAAGGAGCTATTAACATTTGTAACCAGCAGCATATATTATACTCTGAGACATATCTTTGGAATTCTACCTAACAGATACTTAACTATGGATTTTTTTTTATTGTTAATTGTAGGCTTTTTTTGCTTATGAGAAAAAAATATATTTGGTTAACTATTTATACATCATATACATTTACAGCTTACAGCCACATAAGAAAAAAGAAAGAACATATATGCTGGAAAGCTTGCCATTTTTCCAGTTGTAGCAGTTACTCCAATAAAAGATGTTACCTTATAAACCTTGTCTCACAAGAGTGGAATTCCTGTTCTGTGGGCATGTATACTGAAATGTTTCTTAGGTAGTAGTCCTAGGGGAGAATAACCCTCTAAAGAATTTAGCGCTAAGTGAAGAAAACAGCTATGATTTTATGTTTCTGAAAGCGAAGTAAGGTTTTGAGTTTGTTGGTTTTTTGTTGTTGTTGGTGGTGGTTTTTGGTTTTTTAATTACTTATAACTTAACTGTTAATGAAGCTTTTCTGATTCAGGGTAGTTTTGACTGGTAGTCACAAATGACAGTGGCATTACTTTGGGGAAGTGTGGAAGAAATGTGTTGTCTTATATTCCTGATTAAGTGGCTGTGAATTGTGGTGGACAAATGCCTCGCTGAGCATGTACGCTCTGTGACTGATATATGGGTTGTTTTCCCAGTTTACTTGGTAAAACCTAGAGATCCTGCTTTGCTGAGCATTGCATAAAGCCATACTACTTTATTGCTCTGTCTTTTCTAGTTGGTATATATGCTGCTTAAAGGGAAGCAAAATGAAATCTCCATTTGTACATAGGCAGTTGAAAGAAAGAAGTAATAAGTGAATTGCCTGAGGTCCTACAGTGTGAACCAGAAGTATAGTTATTTAAAACCAAGCCTGTATTTGCTAATTCCCAACCCAGTCATCATGTCTTATCTGCAAATCTCTCAAGTTTCTCTTCTGGCATATCAGAAATATTGAGCTCTTATTGGAGTTGATATGGCATTTACGGTTAGAAAGTTTTTTATTTTTGTGAAGTCAACTGAATGAAAAAATAAATAAAGAAAAATTCAACATGAGAAAAGAATGTTACTGCAATGGTCAAGTATATGATTGGTAGTTGAAACTTTGTCTCTACTGGGGATTTCTAATTGTAGCTACTTGTGCTGCTGCAGAGTCCTAATGTATTGACAGGCTAAGATGCTATTTATACCTTCCTCTTTGAAAATGAAGTAAATATTATGCTGCAAATTCTGATTCATGGTAGTTGTTTTGACTGTTCACATCAGGTAATTGCTTCCAGTGGCTGAGTTTAGATAAAGTAGTTAAGCTAGACAGATGCTGAATGCTTTTAGTTCTTCCATTATTTTTTTTTAAATTAAAATATCAGTTAGTAAATACTTTATGTTATTTATTGTGGTTAATGATGTGATTGTCTGCAGAGCGTGCTAGTGAAAGCATCCATCAACTGAAATATGCCTTAGAGGGAAGACAGTTTGCAGAGGATGAGGGTGAAGCTGGATTTGACCACTGCTCTGTGGACCAGGGCAGTGATGATGTGGATGGGGGCAATGATGACAACAGGAATGCAGCCTGGCAGGAACCGCAGCACAGTCAGGCAGGTAAGATTACTCTGAAAGCAAATAGTTTAAAAATTGTTAGAAATTAGTATAATTTTAAGGAAAAAAGTAAATATTTTTTGGTTGTAATGTTTTTATCTCTTCCTAGTTAATCAACTTAAAATTTTGTTGCAACATCAAGAAGGAACGGAAAGTGAAGTCTCGTTGTCAAGGAGGAAGATGTCGTTCTGTGTATGTTTCTTCTTGTTTCTTTTGTGTTGTTTGAATGAACAGCATGCATAAATAGATCAATTTTCTAGTATACAGGAAGAAAAAGCACCACCAAATCATTTTTATATTCTGAAGTGTAGGAGATTCTTGAGGCTGTGGCCAGAACTTGGTATGCTTATGACCACAGCATAAGAAAAATAAATATTATAGGATTTAGACTTTTCTCCTCTTTTGTTGACCATGCAGTGTGGGTCACAGTCCACATTGCTTTCAGCTTTCTCATCTTTTTCTTTCCACCAAAAGTTCATCTGTAAAAGCAGCCTCTCTTCCTTTGACAGTGCTATAAGGATTCTTGAAGGCCTTCTTATGCTGTAGCTATGCTTTTTCTTTAGAGGATTAGAGATGTTCATCTAATAACAGGTTTTGTAGCGCTCTGCCAAAATGCAGTGGTCTCTGTCAAACTTAGTTTTCACTCTTACATGGGCTTCTTGGATTTAGCCATCTTGCAGCACAACTGCACCAAAGTACGTAATGGACAGTTCAGTTACCAGTATCTAGCAGTTGCTCTGTATCCCTACAGAAAAATAATTCAAAGGCATTGTTCCAGTTTTATCTTTTGATGGCCTCCACTGACTACTTTGGTTTATACGAAGCAAGACAAGCAGCTTTTTGCTGTGAAAGTTGAGTAGCAGCAGAACAATCCTAAAGTCTATATCCCTGCTGTGTTTCTTGAAGACTGTGTAATGACCCTAGTTCTTTAAAGTTCAACTTTTCTGAATATTCTAAAATACACGTGTTTAGTCTGATTGTCCTGACAGGTACTTTTGCCTCATAATGGTGCAGGATAGAATTAGTGTTTTCTGACTCAAGGGAATGGTGCATCATTGGTTGATCTTGACATGGCATGAATCAGTATTCATTTGTATTTAGCCTTTGGAGGGGAGGGAAAGCATCTTTTAATCTGTCTTTGTCAAAGTTTTCTACCTATATTGGGAAATTTTAATAGGGTGGAGAAATTCAGAAAACAGGATACTTTTTCAAAGAAACTTAATAGTGCTTTCAGGGAGTAGATTAAAGCATGGAGGAGTAAACAGTGAAAAGATGGGGATTTACTGTATTGATAGGGCATTCACAGAATCACTAAGGTTGGAAAGGACCTTCAAGATCATCACGTCCAACCATTAAACCAGTGCCACCATGTCCCCTAAATCATGTCCTGAAGTGCCACATCCACATGTTTTTTTGAAGACTTCCAGAGATGGTGACTCCACCACCTCCCTGGGCAGTCTGTTCCAATGCCTGACCACCCTCTCAGTGAAGAAATTTTTCCTAATATCCAATCTAAACCTCCCCTGGTGCAACTTGAGGCCATTTCCTCACCTATCACTAGTTAGTTGGGAGAAGAGACCAACACCCTTGTCGCCACAACCCCCTTTCAGGTAGTTGTAGAGAGCAATAAGGTCTCCTCTCAGCCTCCTCTTCTCCAGACTGAACAACCTCAGTTCCCTCAGCCGCTCCTCATAAGACTTGTGCTCCGGACCCCTCCCCAGCTTCGTTGCCCTTCTTTGGACATGCTCCAGCACCTCAGCGTCCTTCTTGTAGTGAGGGGCCCAAAACTGAACACAGGATTCGAGGTGCGGCCTCACCAGGGCCGAGTACAGGGGCACGATCACTTCCCTACTCCTGCTGGCCACACTATTTCTGATAGAGGCCAGGATGCAGTTCGCCTTCCTCTCATATTCAGCGGGCTGTAAACCAGCACCCCCAGGTCTTTTTCCGCTGGGCAGCTCTCCAGCTACTCTTCCGCAAGCCTGGAGCGTTGCATGGGGTTGTTGTGGCCAAAGTGTAGGACCCTGCACTTGGCCTTACTAAACCTCATACAGTTGGCCTTGGCCCATCAATCCAGCCTGTCCAGATCCCTCTGCAGAGGCCTCCTACCCTCCAGCAGATCAACACTCCCACCCAACTTGGTGTCATCTGCAAACTTACTGAGGGAGCACTCAATCCCTTCATCCAGATCATCTATAAAGATATTGAACAAGACCGGCCCCAGAACCGAGCCCTGGGGAACACCGCTTGTGACCGGCCGCCAGCCAGATTTAACCCCGTTCACCACAACTCTCTGGGCTCGGCCATCCAGCCAGTTCTTTACCCAGCGAAGAGTAAACCTGTCTAAGCCACGAGCCGCCAGTTTCTCCAGGAGAATGCTGTGGGAGACGCTGTCAAAGGCTTTACTAAAGTCCAGGTAGACAACGTCCACAGTCTTTCCCTCATCCACTAGGCGGGTCGCCTGGTCGTAGAAGGAAATCAGGTTGGTCATTGTCCCATTTCTTCCTCTTGAAGTTTCCAATGAGAGGGATTCTGTGAAGTGGTGGCCTTATTCTTCTTTTCAGCTGTTCTCCATCTGCTTGCGAACCAGGATGTGAAAGTGTTCTGAAGACAGACCAAGCCTAAAGCTCAAATAATGTGGAAGTACAAAAGTACACACACACCAAAAAAAAACAAACCCATATAAAATATGAGCTTATCTGGTGGTTTGCTGGATGCTGCAGAAATGCTTCTTATAGAAGAAGAATCAGATTCCCCAAAGGTCAAGGAAACCAAACTTAGATGATGAGTAGCCTTAACCTTTTGCTTTTAATTATGCTGAAATACCTGATGACTACTGAATAGTAGATAATTGCACGTGTCTACACCTAAATATAATATTTCACTGAAAGTATAGTGTTCAGTACACTTTACAACATTCATATGTATAAATAACATTATCTTAACAAAATTCCCTTCTTTTCCCCATTGATACAAGTTGCAATAGACATCAAATCAGTACGTCTTGTCTTTGATTACACCAAGGCGGTTGGGCAGTGATGTTCCTTTTGCTCTCTACCTCATCACTTGAGGTCAAGGCCCAGTGAGATTGCTTCATACAACAACTGCAGTTCTACAAGCTGAGTCTTGGCTAACCTAACTGCACTCAGCCTGGGTTCCTGACACTGTTGTTATAGGTGGAGTTCCTGTGACTGACTTCAGGCTCTTTCTTGCCAGTTTACAGGGCAGCAGATTTAAGACTGCCAGCAGGAGTGTCTCTAATTCTGGGGTTTAGAGGTTTGAAATTTGAGGCATTCTGGAAAAATACAAGGCAGGCCAAATTATTTGGGATGTTGGCAAAACTATTTGTCGCCGTGTAGAATGCTGGCTTCTAAAGCTGCCAAGTGTTTATACTTTATAAACCCTTGTTTTTATACGATAAATTTTTCAATATTAAGAATGCAAATGTGAACAGCATTTCTGAGACTCAGACATAAACTTTTGGTAACTCATACTGATCAGATGTGTCTCAGTTCTGATTTTTATATTTGGCCTACTTTAAGTATATGTCTCCTCTGACCTCTGTTCTTTCACCTTATAACACATGTTATATTATCAGAATATTAATGAAAAACTCCCAAATTAATTTATAATTAGCTGATAACAATTGTGTAGTGAAAGAGATAAAAAGAAGTAAGTCACAAATGATGTACTAGGCCCTTGCCCCATGAAAGGGCAAGTAGAGCCTTCTAAATAAAGGAATATCCCAATGACAGTGCTGTGAGTTAATGAGTTGTGTTAAGAAGTTCTGTTTCTGTTGGGAAAATATACATGTATTTGTTTCTTTTTAGCTGAATCATTCTTTAGCACTCTTGTATACATTACACCAGTGTTACTCAAGTTTCTCAGGTTAGACATTAGCACTGTTTTTCAGTGAAAAATAATTTGAATAGAAGTAGAGATTTTTCACATTTTCAGACACTGTGGTTGGTGTAAACTTTTCAGGGAGGCAACTGGAGGTCTCAGCTGCAAGGAGTCCATTACACTTTCAGAAAAGAGGGAGGGATGAATAGGAGCCGGAGGAACAGAGCAATGAGTTACAAATATTATCGGTGCTATATTATATATACTTTATAAAGTTTTAAAAAATGAATCGCATTTGTTAAAAGTCATTGAGATTAACAGACTTCTGACAGGTGAATTCTGAGTCAATAGAACATGGAACTTATGTGGACTGAGCCATTGAGGACATTGCAAATTCAGAGTCCCTCCTCTAAATGTTTTTCTGCATGGCTCTGGAAAACCCTCCATTTCTCTCTGCAATCGTAGTTTCAGATTTGTCAAGAGTCACCCCTTTAATATGGCCAGTATTTATATTGGGTATAATTTGACAAGGAAGGCTTTTGTTGCTAGGATCCTTCCCCTTCACCCTGGTTAGTGGATTTTGTCTTTATCTTTAAAGGTTGGACAGGGAATCTTAATACTTTGTTGAATTAAAAAAAATTCAATTGATGGCAGAACCTGTAGATAAGATAACTAGTAGATGTAATAGGTAGCCATTAGTAGCTTGGTTTTGGTATGTTCTTTTTTTTAATGGTGATTGTTTCAAAAATAATGTTAAAAACAAAGATGTTGATTTTTCAGAGATTCAGGAGCCCAGCTGTTCAGTTAGTTCCTGAAAATGAGTTCTGTGATCTTTAAGACTTTTATTTGACAAGCATATCATAGAATACTTTTTCACAAAAAGATGTGTTTCTGACCCAAGATCAGAAATGTTAGAATTGTAATGGTTTCAAAACTAGCTAGGGATTGGCATAAAGATGCTTGTTTTCATCCAGAATAGTGAACTTACGCTGGAAATGTACCTATTGTTCCTTCCTCATGATGTAGTACTTGGTGACTTTTTATTAAGTGTACGTAGTATTTTTTGTGCAAGCAACATCTTACTGCAATAAATGGAAAACTGAAAAATAATACATGCTATTCTTTACTTCCTTCAGAAACCTCCAGAAGCTGCAACTGGAGATTTGCCAGCCCTTTCTGATCTCGTTCCTATAATCAATGATCAGTCACAGTACATTAACCATTTAGAAGCAGAAGTGAAGTTTTGCAAGGTATTAGACAACATATTTCACTTACTAAAACCCGGGTCCCCTAAATGTGAATTGACTAAGCGTACACTTAGTCTTGAGATTGATTGTTGTAATGACCAAAACTGAACCAAATGCAGTTCAGTAGATACAGACCCTTGCCATGTGTCTTGGTGCCTGTGTAGTGTTTAAGTCTACTTTAAGTCTTTGAAGACGTTTTTATGTCCTATGACAAGTACAAATAAGCAATCTTTTTTTTAAAAAGTTATATGGAAATTCAAGCTACAAAAATACAGAATCGGTCTTTTCAGTTTTCTTAATTCTCTCTTAAGAGTTAAAATAGTTGAGAATGTTAATGTGGGCTTTTGGTCTCAAGATGTATTTAAATGTTGATAGCTGTCTCAAGGAGCCTTTTACATGCAGTTCCTGTATCCTATAGGAGGAATTGTCTGGGATGAAAGATCGAGTACAAGTAGTTGTACTTGAAAATGAGGAACTCCATCAGAAACTGAAATTCTTAACTGCAGAACATATGTTGAGAGAACAAACTCTTCTAGATGCCTCAGTAAGTTTTTATTTTTCTGTTGTTGTTTTAATCAGTGTTCAGGGACCTGATTCTTTTTAAGGAAGGCTATATAAATGGTTATCTGCAAACTGAATTTTAGTCAAAATTTAATGAGAATTTCTACGGGTAACATCATTATTGTAGGTTGCCAACGTAATTAACTTGTTTATTGGCTCTTATATGCTACTGTAATGAAAATTGTAAGATTCAATACTTACATAATTAATATTTGTTTAAAAAAACAGCCTACACAATTGTAACTGAAGTGTTAATATTTTTATTTTAGGCAAATACTCAGAACTCCTGGCCTGCAGGTGGTAATGACTGTAGCATGCGTCAGCCTGTCACCTCATCACCAGCACATAACAAAAATCAGGCTTTTGTTACAGCAGCTGTTGGAGAAATAGAAAAATGGCCTGTAGAACTGGTTGGTATTAACTTGCTTTGCAAAGTCATACCTTTGGAAAACCTTTTGATGCTTGTTGCTGTAGTTCTGATGATTAATTTTGTAACAGGCATACAGGAGGAGTTTTGGTTGACTGAACCTGACATCATATTGTTATACCCTAGTTAATATTATTATCCAGTTAGACACAGATGGCAGGTTGTGTCTGCAGATGTTGACTTCCCAGAGTTAAGTCTTGTCTTAAGAATGTCCTGTCTGTTGTGGCTCCACTGTACTTTGGATGTTCTTAACAGTAACACAATGCGCCAGCAGATGGGAACTAGCTGATATAATTTCGGTAGCCCTCCAGGCAAGCTCTTTTGCAATGAGTCTTTCAGCAGTGCTGGCTCAGTAAGGTACAAAAGTAGCTTTGTGCAGTCTCTTTTCCCTAAGCTGAATTACACATTTTGTGCTTTTAGAGGTATAGAGGAGCCCTAGTAATTCAGAAAAGATACTGTCTCTATCCTGTATTTTTAGTTTGGGAAGATATTCTTAATTTCTTTGATCTGAACTAATGGGGTAGCATTGCCAGAGTTTGGAAAAAACATGGTTAACTGAATGTTTTGGAGTTTTTTATCCATGTGCATACGTGTACTGTGGAATTTAAAGGGTACTTTAATTCTTCAAGATAATTATATGTATTATTTTTTCCCAGTAAAATATATTTTTGTGCATTGTCTAGAGCTGAAAACCTCCTCAGTGCTCCCAGCCACCTGCAGTTGTTTGAAAGCTGTTTTTTTACAGTAACTGCACTTTTACTTCATTTGCCATACTTAAAGCAAGAGAATCATATTCATTGTGACTTCTTACTAAGTGTCATAGCTAAATTGCTGGTGCTTTATCTGGTTCACTATCACGATTGTATTTAACATTGGTGTGGTTGATTTATATACTTAATCCTTCACCAGGTAATAAGAGTAACTCACTGTATTATAAATAAATAGCCCGTCTACTTGAAGTTCTTCAGAATTCCTCTTTTATTTCTGCTGACTTGTGGGAGAGTAATAGCAAACTCAAGACAACATCATCAATTTGTGTAAATCAGTGTAGAGGGCTGCAATTGGAGATGAAGCAATTTACCATATGAGGATCTGGCAAGATGTATAGAAATAAAAAAATGGGAGGGTTGTTCATTTTGTAGACTTTCACAAGTGTGAAATACTTAGATTTATCTGACACTAGTATTTCAACAAGCTTATATCTTCAGGGGAAAAGAATGAATGTGGCTAATGTCTAGATTTATTTGTAAAGACAATGTTATGAAGAATGCAAAAGACACTTCTTTTCTCCCATCTTTTCTAAAGGAGAAACTAAAACTTATTTATCAAGAAAAAGTCAATATCCTTGATGCTCAAATACAGTCTCTAAGGTAAAGTGAAATGTTTTTTTTTTCTTTAAAATTATTGTTAATGATCACTTCATAACAACATGAACCACTTTTGATTTGAATTTAAGTAAGAGAATGCCTGAGTGTCATGTTTTCTGATAGTGTCCCTGAAAGCTGGTTTTACGTGAAGTAAAAATACTTTTCTCAAGTATAAATGTGACAAAATTGAATGTACTGCTACCATATAGCAACATTAGCAATATATAAATTTTATCAGTTCAGTTAAATTATTGTATTTATAGAAACTACAACTTGGTATAAAATGTCTTTATCCTTTTAACGTTTTTCCTTTATAGAATCATCATGTCTGTTAGAGTGATCAAAGAAAAAGAAGTTAAAATTTTAACTTATGTGAGCTCTTCCACTAATTACCTTTCTTCTACTAATATTTTATATTGCAAGGTTTAGAAATCTTAAGCATTGAGCTAGTTTAGGCCATGTAATGATTTTGGAGAAGGAAGACACAGTTTTGAGGCATGCAGGTAGTGTTTCTAGTCATGTAATTTGCATACCTCTAAAGACAAAAATATTTGAAAATAAGTCCTCACGTACTCCTAAAAATATTAAAGGTTTGAATAGGTAGCAAACTATGGAAAAACAGAGATAGAGGCAACCACTTTAGGATTTGGTTTTCAGGAGTAAACTTCCCCCTGTACACCTGCTGCTGAAGCTGTTTAATTATGTTTTTTCCTAAATAAACTGTGGTTTTATATATCTGAAGATTCTAGACTTTTGTGTGTAAAAAGAGTTACTGGTAGGGAAACAAGTTTAAATATGCCCTCTGCCGTGGTGAAATCTTAAATGTGCAAAGCCAATTGTGCTGGTGAAAGATTAAAAGAGCATCTGAAATTTCAGCTGTGTAACACAATTTCCCCCACTGCCTTGGCTTGAAGTGTTACATGTACTCAGAAATAAATATTGGAGGCTAAAATAGTGAGAAGATTTCCACAAGTACATTATTCAGCCTCTTAATTTCTCCTAAGGGGCATTATCTTTCAAACTGTAAGTTCTGCAAAGCACTTGAGCATTTGCTAAATTTCAATTAAAGTGAGAAATTATATTGCTTTAAGTGAGACTATCTTTGTTTGTAACTTTTAGCATGAATTTACATAGGCCTCGCTGATTTCTGTCCAAGATTTCCCAACAATAGGTCTGTTATACCATGACTGTCTAAGGATATATGCAGAGCAAATTCTGTTCAGGTTGTAGTGGATTATATTTAATAACCAACTACTAAAATTGGAAAAAGTGCACAGAAGATTTCCCAGATGGAAATAAGCATTCATGCAGTGTATATTTCATGTGCACAGTAAATCCAATGCAACCAGAATGTGTCAGACTTACTATGTGTGTGCTGCCCAGATGGCCTGCATAACAAACCAAAAGCTTTGGATTCATTGCACAATTTGTCACATTGATCTGTATGTGCACAGTGTGCGTTTGTCTGGTACTTCCTGATGTCAGCATTCCTACTGCTTGTGCTCTCCCCAGCCTGACAGATGCTTGGAAATTCTGGAGAAAATTCTTCAGAGCACCTGGTAAAAATTTTGGAGACAAGCAAAAAAACTTACCCTGTTTTTCTGGAAATGTGGTTGACCTCAAGTTTGCGTGTATCACTGGATCAAAGTGAATATGCTGAATACATTTGGATTTTGTCGAGGGAGTATAAGGGACTTTTACTTTATATTGTAACTTTGCAGTTAAATTTGAGAGTAGAGAAGAAACATTAAATTAGTGGTATTATTAGTAAGAACAACAGAAAAAAATGTTAGCTAGTGTATTGAAATATTTAAACAGCTGGTAGTGTTTCTTGCTAATGTATCCTTTACTCTGTTCAGCCAATATGTAAGCCTACAAGTTTTCTCTAACAATTTTTGGTGTAACTTTACTATTTTCTGACACTACAGAGGGAAGGAACAAATTAATATAATTTTTTTGCTATTAATAATTTTGACTGGGCAGTTCAACTGTTATTTCGCTGTTAAAGTCTTCCTTAGTCTACTGAAATTTGTAAAAGAATGTTCATTACAGGGATTCTTACAGTTCTTTTTGGGTTGTATCTGTAATTATACATTCCATATGAATATATCTTGTCGAAATGTTTGATTGCTCAAATAATACTTCTTATTTCTACTTTCTAGAAAAGAACTTTCAGAATCTCAGAAGACATGCAAAGATTTGGAAGGAAGGCTAAAACACCAGAAGTCACTCACTTCAGCCACAAATTCTACCCCGGTTGGTGGTCTGTGTCTGAAATGTGCACAGCATGAGGCAGTTCTTGCACAGACTCATTCTAATGTTCACATGCAGACCATCGAGAGGGTAACAAAGTAGGTTTGAGGGTTATTTACTTTCTCATTGAAAGTACTGTTGTTTATATTAAACCATATAAGTTTCAATGTGTTGGGTTGCATCCATAGAGAGGTGTGTGATTACACAACAATGGACTCCCAAGTTGAAGTTAAATGCTAAAATCAATGGCAGAATAAGAATGTAGGTCCCAACTGCTTTGAAATCCATGGTAGTTTTGCTACTTATTTCAACTGGGAAAGAATATTAGTCATTATCTTGTAATTATGATACCTCAAGCTGTCCAGATAATCAGACTGTTGACAGTCTGTTTCCCACACTATTTGTACAAACAAACTCTTCACTCTGTCAGAACAAATATTATGGAAGTCCATATATTTTGATTGGTTATTTCCTGCAAAAGTTCCTTCTCTTTCTCTAGTTGGAAGTTTTTCTAGCTCCACCTTATTCCATTTACACTTGGACAACTTTTAGGATACATCAGCAGTGTAATTTCCCCCCCACCCCCGCCTTGAATTTGCTTAGTGGGTCAGGTGTTTGGGATAGGATGCATCGCACCTCCCTAACTACAGTAAGTCAGGGAAAAAAGTTCCTTTGGATAAACATAAATTAAATTATTTGCTGCAGCCTTTTTTTAATTGTAGCTTTTATTTAAATGCTTTTTAAAAACAGCTGAATATAATATATATAATTCAGAAATCCCAACAGCATTAAAATGTTCTTTTCTTAAAAAATTCTGCTGGTCAATCATCTTCAAAAATCTTACTCTTTTTACTTGCTAGTAGCAATGATAGAATACCGCAGCTTCTCCAAGTTTGTTAGACAGACATCTATTTCCTGTCAGAAACCTGAAGCTTCCTAGGATTTCTGAAGCTTTATAAAGAGCCTGCTGGAGATTAGGTAGTGGGTCAATTAGAAGCAAGAAGACTGAAGGGGCATAGTACATATAGTCTGTCGAATGGATATTATCTCTACACATTAGATGTCCATTGCCAGGATTTATATATTTTTCTATTGTCAAATCTAAGAATTTTCCAAGAAAGCTCTCTGTTGCTGAAAAGTCGTGTTTCAAAATCTACTTTTGTAAGAGAAATAATTATTTGTCACAGACACTGGAAAATATGAACAAAGTATAAATCAACACATTCTTGTCATTTTGTATTATAGAGCAATTTGAAATACAAGATTTGAGCTGACCTATTTAACTATCTTAAACCATTATTTCAGTTTGAGATGTAGCAAAGCTACATCATCCTGTGATGCAACTTCCTAAAAATGAAGTTATTTTGGTAGGGATTTTCAAAGGGACTTTGCCCAAATCTTGTTGAAATTAAATCTGAAAATATGGCTGTTAGTTCTCTGGCAAATACAACTGTGTTATTATTCTACACAACATGAAGGAAGAAAAAAACCCAAACACAATAGTTTTCAGCCAGAGTCTCTAGTTGAACTTAAAACACAGGCAATTATACTTTTAATTGAAAAGCTTTCAACATATCAAAATAATGAAAAGGTGAAGTTTGTTATTAACGGTTTTACCAATGGTGCTTCACCGTTTGGTATAAAGCTCAGTTTCTTAGTTAACAAAAGTTCAGAAGGGATGTAAAATCCAGAAGTTTTATTGTTTAGTTTAGTTCCAGTTTGCAGTAAAGGGCTATGGATTTTCATTTTATATACTTAGTGATCTGAATTACTTGTTGAACCTAACTATTCCTTTTATTTTTTTCTCCCTATTTTACTTTTACTGACAATGTAATTTCGTATTGCTTCAATCTCTTTTTTTGGAAACTTGCCATTTTTCTTTTTGTTTGTTTGTTTGTTTGTTTTTTAGCATGGAGCCCCATTTTGTAATGCCAACAGAATGTTACTCAGCTTCAATATATTTATTACTTGAGCTATGTTGTCATTACTGGCAGCTTCATTAAAGTCTGTCCTTCTGAAGTGAAGGACTGTTCATCAAGCAAATTATACTTTTAATAACTGCCAACCTAGCAGCATGCTGTCTTTCACTCTTAACCCATGCTGGTTTTAGTCTTGCTTCATTTACCACCCTTATGTCTTTTATCTGTTAACATTTGATATTTCATATACCTGTTTGTTTTTTTTCTCTTGAGAAAAGATATAGAAGAAATACCTGTTTTTTCTTTATATGCAGAGAAAGAGATGACTTGATGGATGCACTTGTTTCACTGAGACGAAACATGAGAGAGATGCAGCATAGAGAATCTAATGCATGTGAGCAAGTTAAACAAGCTGTGCAAATGGCAGAAGAGGCCAATTTAGAAAAAACAAAGGTAATTTCATCAAGAAACAAGAGCTTTTCAGTATTCAGATCTACTGCAAATGTTAATTAGTTTTCATGCTAATGAGAGAATACACACATAAGACCTTTATCATGTGTTGATATGATATTGTAGATTTAAAAGGATTGTACTGTGTGATTGTTTCTCAGCAGTAACATGAACTCTATATTTGAGCTCTTAAATTCTCATCAAGGCTGTAGGGTGTGTTCCATTCTTAGGCCATCACTTAAATTCTGTTTCATAGCTAGGTGATAGAAATTGAATGGTAGAATTTTCAAAGGCTTTCATGACATGTAGGAGGATAATTCTCATATCACATTTCTGAGCTACCCTGGAAAAAATATGTAAATGCTTACAAACAAATCTTTTGCCTCGGATGAGTGCAGTGGAAGAACTGGTTAGGTAACAGAAGTCTTTGAAGATGAGAAGTCCTGTCTGATGTTACAGGAAGCTTTTGGTGCTATGTAAATAATACTGATAAAACCAGTTTTTATCTAATGCTTGTGTTAGCCCTAGTTACTATGTAGAGTCAACTGGTATTGAACTAAATTATTTTCTTGATATTTAGTGACATCTACTGTATTATTAGTGAATTACTATGGAACTGAGAGAGATTTGGGTTTTTTTAAAGGCAACGCTGTTGCTTTTAATAGTGGTCAAGATTGATATAATTGATCTGCTGATCAAATTGGTATTATTCATCCAATGCTGTAAGAGAGTATGTGTGTGTAAGGTCTTTAACTATAAACAGTGGGGAAAAAATGCTGAGTTGGAAATCCTATGTACTTGTTAAATTTGCCTTCAGAGCATTACAGCTCTGTGTTTTACTGAACAAAGAGAAAGAATCCTTCTGACCCCACTGTTCACCTGTCATATCCTGTCCCTGAGGAGTTAAATTTTTAAATTGCTTACTTTTTTACTTTTTTGGGGGTAGATTCTACAGTTGTCTGATAGAAATTATTGACTTAATGCCACTGAAAACTGCACAAAATACTTTTCCTCTTTTATGCAATGAAATGATCTGATCTTCCTTCTTTTTTTCATTTGGTGTTGGAAATCTTTATTTTAATATTTAAAAAGAAGATTCTTATAAATTCTTATTTAGTATAGCTTATGTTAGAAATATGGCCTAAGAATAAAATTTAGTAAGACAAATTAGTAGAACCTTTAATAAAATGGGTCTTCGTACCTATACTATTTGTGCCACGTAAAGAAAGCAACTCCGTAGAGTCTCTACTGGCCACCCTCTTCACTGCAGCAAGGAAATGGGAAGTGCTGTCTGTATACAAGACTGAATAGTAGTCTGTTTTTGCCATGCTCAAAAACTGTTGTAATACAAAGGAACAAGGAGAAATATTTTACTTATGCTGCATTAATTCAGCATTTTTACAGGTACTGGTATTTCTCTTGGTAAGTAGAAACCATCCTTTATTTTCCCAGTCCTATTCTACTTTTAAGGTCAAGTGCTGTTTTCCTTTTTGATTATCATGGAATCCAACAGAACAGTCCACATGAGAAAAGTGAGGAGTTGGCATCTGGAAGCCCAATGTATTATAACTGCAATTTCATCACCTGGTTTACAGAAAGTCTAACCTCAGTTACTTATAATTTAAAAACACCGTGTTTTCTTGTCTTTCGGTTGTCTCTGTGGTATGTGGCCTCTTGCCTGTTGCATAGAGCAAGGAGGAGATCTGGTAAGGTTAAACTTCCATAGCTGAAGCAAATCCAGGAATCTATTTTCAACATAAATGTCATAGAAGAATAATTGAACTGCTCATTATGTCGTCAGAACAGTGGAGCTAACAAAATACACATTTCTTCTTGCAACTTATTTTTTCTAGAATTGCATTGTTTTACATGTCTGCCAAACTACACCAGTCTTATGCAGGTAATTATTTGCTGATGATAAATTCCTACAGAAGAGGATTCAAGGCAATAGCAGAGGAATTCCCTCACCAAGGTAGACTTGTGATGGGAAAGAGATCCTGAGGAGGGTCCTACAGAATTGGTATAAACTAATGGAGACTGTTAAAGCATTCTCTAAAAGTTATGGTTTAATGTGCTTCCCTCAGGAACAGCCCAACACCAAGGAAACTGTATATAGGGGATTGGCTTTAAGTAAAAAAAGAACAAGCACTTCAAAAAAAAATAATTTGACAATAAAAGGTGATACAGTAGGATTCCTAAAAGCAGGTTACTTCAGCTTCCTTGAAATAGGATATGCTGAGCAGCAGTGTGTGGTGGGTTGACCCTCGCTGGACACCAGATACCCACCAAAACTGCTCTATCACTCCCCTCCTCAGCTGGACAGGGGAGAGAAAATAAAATGAAAAGCTCATGGGTTCAGATAAGGACAGGGAGAGATCACTCATGAATTACTGTCAGAACAGACGCAACTTGAGGAAAATTAGTTTAATTTATTACCAATCAGAGCAGGATAATGAGGAATAAAACCCAAATCTTAAAACACTTTCCCCTCACGCCCCAGCCTGGGTCCCTTCCACAGGGTGCCGTCCTTCAGGAACAGACTGCTCCATTGTCGATCCCCCACAGGGTCACAAGTTCTGCAAGCAAACCTGCTCCGGCGTGGGCTCCTCTCTCCATGGGTCCACAGGTCCGTCGAGGAACCTGCTCATGTGGGCCTCCCATGGGGTCACAGCCTCCTTTGGGCACATCCCCCTGCTGCGGCGTGGGGTCCTCCCCGGGCTGCAGGTGGGGATCTGCTCCCCCGTGGAGCTCCATGGCTGCAGGGGCACAGCCGGCCTCACCATGGTCTTCATCAGGGGCTGCCGGGGAATCTCTGCTCCGGTGCCTGGAGCCCCTCCTGCCCCTCCTGCTGCTCTGACCTGGGTGTCTTCAGGGTTGATTCTCTTGTGTATTCTCACTCCTCTCTCCAGCTGCAGTTGCGCTGGTTTTTTCCCCCCCTTAACTCTGTTACCCCAGAGGCGCTGCCACTGTCGCTGATGGGCTCGGCCTTGGCCAGTGGTGGGTCCGTCATGGAGCCGGTTGGCATCGGCTCTGTCAGACACAAGGGAAGCTTCTGGCAGCTTCTTAGAGAAGCTACCCCTGTAGCACCCCTGCTACCAAAACGTTGCCATGCAAACCCCATACACACTGAAATGATGAAATGGAATCTAGTTTACTCATGGGCTAGAAAGCTGCCCTTAAGGTTCTTTGAATACTTTGCATTTACTTAATGGAGTAGTGTATTTCTGATTTTAAATGACAACACTCAACTCCTATTCCTTTGGCAGGGATACCTCAGCATAAATTGATAGATGCTTTTTTAGAAGATAGTGTCTACTGTGCTTCTTGCATATGAACTTATGTTTCTTCTATTTTGATAGAAAACACATCTATAACCTGTGATTTAGCACTTCAAATTAAGCAGGACATTTATGAGTTTTTGCTAGCATTAATCTTCTTTATTTGATAAACCTGAAACGGAAATAAAAAATATTGTTTCTTTATATCTTCATTTACGTCTTCCAGGTTTCATCATAGCCTTCTGTAGTCCGTAATTCATTTAAGGGGGAAAACAAGTAGATGTGCATATATTATTTGTTTATTTTTCCTTCAGCTATGCAGTTAGGCAGTAACCACAGTGTTTGTAATGAGTCAAATATTGGAGCCTGGCTCTGGTGATATACATTCATTAATTTTAAGTGCAAGGCAAATAATCATCATAGATTTAGAATAACAGCTACATATTTGGAATATATACTCTGAAAAATGCTTCCATCTTTGCCTTACTTTTAATATCTAAGAGATTTATAAAATACAGTGGGACATGTGTATACATACAAATGTACATCTGTTTTCTATTTGTTAATCCTATTTTAGGTATTAACACAGTAGGATATGTATAAATGTCATAATAGCTAGGCAAAAAAATTAAAGATGTCTTTTTTTAATAGGAACTTGTTTTTTCTGAAGGCATTAGATAAATACCATGTCTGTTTAAAAATTTAGATTTCTTCCACTTTAAAAAATCATTTTTTTTCTAGGCTCTAGTCCAGTGTGAGCAGCTGAAAAGTGAGATGGAACGGCAGAAAAATCGTCTTGAAAGGGAATTAGCTGCCCAGCTAAATAAGAGGACTGATGAAAAAGAAGCGCTGCGGGAAGAAATGAAGAAGGAAAGGGAGGACTTGGCAGCAATGGTATGAGTTGGGTTTTTTCTATTTGTGTATTACAACGAGCATGTTGTTCTATAAACTTTCAGTTTGCTTGTTTTTCATTTTGTTTGTTTTGGATTTGAGAGGTCAGTAAATCATTTCTACCATTGCTTTAAAGCAGTGGTAGATAAATGATCCTTTGAGTCTGAATAACTGGGTTTTATGCTATGTCACTAGATACGTATTAAATTGTTAATGTTATGTGCTCATATTAGTTTGCATAATATTTCCTAATGCACTGTGTCAAAGTAGGAAAGGGTTAAGTAATATGTCATGCAAGGTTTGTACCTAGCTTCTTACAAAGATTATTACCGAGGTTGCCATGTCAAGCATTCAGAAGTTAGCCTGTCAGATTTAGGATTCCTTGCTATTTTGAGCTTACGTATAGATATATACTAATTATATTATAACATTGTAATTGCATTCTAATCTGGTATTTTTCAGAGTAGTTTTATCATATGCTTAATTTGCCCACCGCAGAAATGTGTTGGAATCTCTTTTTTTCTCTTTTACTGATCTTCATAAAGTCCTTGAGACAGCATCTGTCTCATCGTTTATACTGTGACCATTACAACAGAACCTTGATAATCTTGTTTTAGACTTCTGGATGCTAGTGTATAATCTGAGTATAAACCACAAGGATTTTCTTTTTTTTTTTTTTTTTTTTTTTGGACTACTTTTAGAAATAAGCCATAAAGTTTATAAGACCTGGAGAGCACAGACTGCACAGGATAAACTATTTAAGTTTTTAAAAAAAGAGGAGGTGCTTTGGTAGTGTTGTTGCTTGTGAAGTGGCTGCAAAGCTACTAACATAGGCAGGGAACCACAGTGATACGGTTGTATTTCTGGTATTATGAGATGATGGAATAATGTTCTGAAGCTACTACAGGAAGGCAAAGCCTTTGACTCCAGTTCCAGATATTAAAACAGGAATTAAGCACAGTGATAGGGGCTAAGTGATATTTAAGAAAGTGAACTGTTGTAAGTCATCGTCAGAAATGTGTTGCGAAGGCAAAGTGAAAAAATTAACCTTTCACTAGAGACAATGAGACATTATTAAGCAATTCCTTGTTTGAATCCTTGCTATCTATTGGAAGTTATCACTCTTATGCATTTAGGTGTTTAGTTGCAGATTTGCTTTAGAGCAGAGTATGCACTCCAAAATACAGCCTATTAGACAACCATTTCCTACCTTTTTTGGTAAAAAAAATTCACTCCATGTTTTACTGGAACTGATTCCTACTTTGAGTAGTTGTAATCAGTTTTCTAAATCCTACATAGATGTTAACATATAGTGACACTATGATGATGTCATGCTTGGTAATTAAAGGTACGGGATGACTTTGTAGAAAACTATGATTATATATAGGCATGATTTACGCCTACATATGATTAACTACTTTTATGTTTCAGGGTTGTGAGGTGGTAGAAATGGTATACTGTGCATTAAGTCAACCTGCATATGAATATTTTATCACTTTATGAAGTGATTTGTTTGAAGGGGAGAATTGCCATGATATGTAAATCAGGTGGATGTATAATGAGTGAAAAGTAGTTATGAATACATAATCCTCTAGGTTTGGCTTTGAATTCTTGTAAGTTAATCTAGAACGGTCAGACACCATTATTTCCCCTTACATTAGTAAGCTTCAGGTCTAAGTAGCTGAAGGGTCACTGTCTCTGTTTTATTTTTACATTTTTTAACCATTCAGCAAAATTTGGTCTGAATTAAGTTAGAATTTTTAACGTGCTATTTCTGTATGGTTTTTGTACAAAATCATGCTTTGATCTATAGTGCTGAAATGTTTTTTGAACTTCAAAATTAATTTAAGATCTGTGGTTAAAATGACAGTTTTCTTTAGCTGGGGGAACATGACTTGGTTTAAATCAATCTGCATAAGGATGGATAAGAAGCTCTTAAATAGTACTTACAGCCGCAAGACTAACGCAACCAGCTGCTTCTGACACTTTGTCCATACTAACAAGTCCTGGAGACTAGTCCAGTTGATGAAAAGTTTCAAGTAAACTATTGTGTGATAAATCAATTCAAAATAATGAACCTATTGTTAAAATCATTTAGCCATACTCTGCTATATTTTTAAATTATATTTTATTACTTTTTACTATAAATATGTAATTTTATATTATGTATTTAATAGTATCTATTTTGGCTACATGGAGTTTCTTTCAAGGAGAAAGTCCCACAAGATTCACATTGTGTCATTACAGTGTTCTTGGTCTTTTTGCAGGTGATGGCCATGTCTGAGAATGTGGCCATGTTGGAGGCTCAGGTAGAGAGAATTACAAGAGAAAAGAACTCTCTAGTTAACCAGTTAGAAGAATCGCAACATCAGCTTGCATCTCATGAAATGGAGATGAATAAGGTAGGTGCATTTATAAATGAGTATTGAGCTTGGTTTTCCTTATCACTGTGGCCTGAAAGATTTTTTTTCTTTCTGCATTTTGCTCTGTATTGGTAAAGAAGGTGGGATAAATGTAAACTTCATCTGAATATCCCAGAGGCACAATTTCACATGTAAAAAGATAACTTTTTCAGTCTGCCAAGTCACTTTGTGATGCAAAAGCTAACCTTTCTATCTTGCAGACTATGCAAATCACTACCTAAAACTGCAAGCCAGTGTTTCATTAAAAATTGCATTTGATGTGAATGAGACAACATAGTATTCAACCCTGTCCTGTAATTGCTAATCTCTGTGATATGCAATGCTAAAATAAAGGGAGCTGTATCAAATAATTGTTTTTTAATACTGTCCTGTGGAATTTGTATGTAGTGTACTGCTTTATTCATTAGTATTGATGATATGCATTTTAAAAAGAGGTCTTTCTTCCAGCTAAGAAATGTAGTTTAACATCTATCTATGTATGTGTATCACTTCTGGATGCTTTATTTTGTACATTTTTCAACCTATTAGAGCCTTAATGTGGGTCATGACATGAGAAAGAAAAAACAATTGCCATCCAAAACTTATGCTGGAGTGTGACATATAGTTAAAGTGATTATTTTCATTACCTTAGTTTCCTCATTCAGTTGTTACAGAAATAACTTCCAACTTAATGAAGATGAGGGCGTGCTAAATTTCTATAGACTAGACAATCTGAGAATTCAGATTTGTTACAACCTCTTGAAATGTCTATATACTTTACCAATAATCCTAGGGCCAGTCCTACCTCCCCAGTTGTTAACTGCAAGGTTTTGGCAAGCAATTCATTCTCTAGGTCTCTAGAGACTTCTGGAGAGGTTTTCATCAGCTCCTGTCTTCCTCTGCTGTTCCTGTTGGTAGAAATAGGTGAAAGTATTGCGGAACACTTAACAGCAAAAAGTCATCCAAACTTATTAGAAAATTTAATTCTACTTCAGCTGAAAGACAAATGAGGGAGCATTTTAAGAATGTCAAAATGGTTTGATTTACTATTGCTGAAACATGCTTTTGGTTTTTCAGACTGGGTTCACAGAGGACTAACATCACTTACCGGGGGGTGTGGGAAAAAAAGGTAGTAGGTATAAATATCCACTGGTCTGGAAAGAACAATTTTATAGCCTACCAATTTGAAGCAGTCTCCCAGGAGAGGTGACACTGTGGTTCCAGTCCCTGCTTCAGTTAATCAATACAAAGTTGAATAGGTGGCCACCTTGCCGTAGTCTGTGCTGTGTTGTTACTGCACTGTCCTGGGAGATTGGAAAACTGCATTTGTGTCTCGCTTCTGGATTGAGAAATCTCAAACATCCCAGAGGAGGGCCCCGAGCATTGAGCTGTCAGGACTATGTGCATCATCCTGACATTTTTCATTGACTATGTAAGTGACATCCATGCTTGTGAATAAGACTCCTTGTTTCCAAACTCGGTTTGCCATTATTAAAAACAGAAAATAAAAACATGTTTCCTTTTGAATTTTATCTGAAATGTTTTTTTTTCTGCATGCACCAGAAGTCAGGGAAAAAAGTTTGGAGTGAGAGGTTTTTTCTTTCATTCTGAACTATGAGGAGACTGAAAAATCCAGTATTATTAGGACAGCACCATCTGCTGATTCTTCTGCGTTATTCCCTTTGTACCATGTATGGGGGAGCTGAAGGTGAGGGTGGCTGTATTTTTTTTTTTTTTTGCTTGGAGGAAGTGACGTGTCACACTTTGTTACATCCTTCATATAAAGAAAGGAGGAGGTAGAAAGGCAGGGTTGGCAATCCATGCCAGTTGCATTTTAGGATTTTTAGCTGCATATTTTTTCAGTATTAAAAAAAGAATACTTTAGAACTTTGCTATTCTTCAGAGCATTTTCTACCTTGTGCTATTTACAGCGGGGCTAAATTCACAAAGTGTCCTTTGAACTTCTTAGTTATGACAGTTGGTTTTGTTTTTTTCCTAAGGTGATTTAATTGCAGTATGTGCATTTACTTTTACCCTACCTTTTTTTTAAGAAGAAGGAAAAAAAAGTAGTAAAATGAGAAGGGGAGTGAAACTTAAAAGTAGAAATTAATTTGGGTTGTAGAATGTGTGTGAGGAGATTGCATAGGGGACTGTAGCAGCAAATTAAGTGTGCACATCTAGGAAGCAAGTCTGGTGAAAGAATAGAAGTGGGTCAGGAAAGCAGAGTGAGTTGGAAAGAAAGTTCTCTAGCTGTGAGCAAACACATTTGTGTTTTCCTTAAGGAATGTGCATGTATTTATCTTTGGTCAATTAAGGTGAAATGAACAGGCACAAATTGGAGGGGATTGCATGGGATAAGGACAAAAAGGGGGACGGCTTGTCCACCATCCTTCTCCATTCCCAACACATCAGTTCAAACAGAATCCTTTAAAAGTAGTCTTAGATTGGGAAATGAGAGAATAACATCCCTGCACAGTAGTAGTGAAAGTTATGTGGGAGGGATTGGTGTGGGGTTTTTTTCTTTCTCTTTCTCCTAAGATGTCCCTAGAACCTTTGAAGTTGAGCTGCCTTCAGGTGGAAAGGAATGAGGAGGTAACGTAAAGAACATCCCAACAGCAGGGGATAATTGCTGCCTTTTTGAAAGTGATACTGGGTTTCTTTAAATGTTGCTCTGATACCTTTCTTCTGGCCCATGCATATATTTGAATTAGGCATTGTTTTTAAAAAAATTATCTTCAGTTTGTAGTAAGTCTTAATCTTCTGATGTAATTTTGAAAATTATTGTATTAACATCTAAACATTTTCTTTCTTAACAGTGGAAAATTGGCAAGACTATGCCCATATATAAAATGTAGTGCGATAGACCCTTTACTTGTGGGTTTTAAAAGTGTTGACACAGACTTTCTTGGGATTTTAAGAGAGAATGGGAGAAGAATATAAAACCAGCAACTGTAGTTTAACTGTATTTAGTAGCACATGTATTTACAACATAAATATTTATACTTAGCAAAATCTTGATCTAAATATAATTGAATCTAGAAGGCACTGCATATTTCAAAGTTAATGACTGTGTAGAGAATTCAGATTCACCTTTTTATATAAAAACATTTACCATGTGTAGTCTTAAAAATCTGTAAATTAAAATATGTTGCATTTAAATGACCTCTAGAGGGCACCAAAAGATCTAATAGCAAACCCTGGGCTATGGATTCTTCAAGCTACAGATCATGTTGTCTGTGTAATCTAACAGGTGTGTGGAGAAATGCGCTATCAGTTGAATCAAACCAAAATGAAGAAGGATGAGGCAGAAAAGGAGCTCAGAGAGTACAGAACAAAAACTATAAGGGAGCTTGAAATTAAGGACCAGGTAAGAGATAATACTGCTATAACTTTGCAGTTATTAGAAACCTGAGAAGGGTTATTTCGGAAGCTGGAATGATTCGTTTTTCTAGTAGTGGTCATTTATTACTGTTAAATGGTTTCTAAATTTATGGCAACAGGCCAGCTATTACTGTTAAATAAATACCTCTTGGTTATCTTATTCTTGTTTTCAGCCCTAGTATGTTCAGTTTTACATAATACTCATCCCATGCTGTCATATAGAATTACTCTATCATATGTATTAATACAGCGTAATTAAATTGTATGTACTATATACATATGTTTATACACTTTTTCTCACAAATAAATCCACACATAATTACGCATACATGCAGCCTGACAAAAAATTAGAGATTCTAAGTATAATGTAATGATACCAAAATTGAAAATCATTTATCTTCCAGTTTCTTTAAAGATTCAAGGTTAATGAATGCTGGGATTCATAGAAAAGTTAAAAACAAAACAAAACAAAAAATAACCATTTAGAAGAAAAAACTATATAAAAATTCCACTAGGCATTAATTGTTGATTATCTAAAACTGTGTTTTATAATAATACAAAAACCAGTGTATGCCTTAGAGGTAGCCTGTGAGAAAACATCCCATGCAGTAAGAAAGATTATTAGAGTAACCTGCGACATACTTGGCAAACAGCTTGAACAGGTGTAATCTTCATGTTTTGAAGTGCCCTTTTTGTTGAGGTTCTATACATTTTTCTCTAGGTTTTCCAACTTCCAGTTGTTACTTCATAAGTTATGATTTGCACATGAGAGTGGATGTCTTCTGAATACACAGATGTATAAGATGCACATGAGGATTTTTTTTTATATGCATTTTGTTATTAGAGCAGCCTATGGGTTTTAAATTGTTCTTTTTATTATAAATCAGTGAACACATCAGTCCTGTAGGGAAAAATGTGGTATTTCTAAAATTATATTTTTATTTATCAGTTCCCCAAAATATTAATGTAGGACAATAAGTTTATTAATTTAATGAAGTATGAGCTTAGGCTGGAAGCAATATTAATTCAAAATATAATCAAAAGATATGTAAAATCCAAAAGTAGAAGTTTACTAGGTAAAATAACTCTTCAATATGTATAGAAAAGTATACAGTGCAGAAAAACAGGGGCCTTAAAAGCATTTTGTTTTCAGGGTTGGATTTTTTTTCTTTTTTTACTCCTGCATCCTTTAGGCCTAAGGACATTTTAAAAAACAAAAAACAGGCTTGTCGTCTGTGTCTTGACAGATATCACAGATAAGAGAGTTGGCATAATCTTGGCATACAAATAAAACAGGATGTGTTTAATAAGATATTTGAAGAAGTATCTTGGTTTTTAAATCCTGTTCTCCAACTTGCTTAAGGATTGCCTTTTGAACAAATTGCAAAATTCAACAAAATATTTTAACCTCATGTATCGACATACTGGTATTTCATTCGGTGTGGGAATGAATACACCAAAATGTGGTGATTTATAATTTGATAAAGTGAAATGATGGGAGGGGGAGTTCCTATCAGCAAAGATTATTAGAGTAATTCAGTAATGCGTAAAGTAATTATATTGTTAAAATATGATTGTTGGTTCTTTTAAAAAAAAGGAAAACAAACTATTTTGAAATTCTCAGGCTCAGCATCTAGCAGCTGGTTTATAGCTGTGGCTCTAGTAACCAAGAAAGTTCTGTAGAGGTCCTAATATTATTTCATATGTTAAAAGGCAACCAAAAAGAATGTGTGTACATTTTGGGGTGGGGTTTTTTGTTGTGTTTTTTTGTAAAATTTTATCCAATAATAGTAAGTCATTGAAAATTATTTCATTTAAATGAAATGAAAACAGCGCAATTGCATCTAGCTTTGTATTTAAAGAAAAACCTAAAATGTTTCATCTTATATGGCAATGAAGAGCAAACAGTAATTGTTCTTTGGTCTCTCAGCCATGACCTGACCTTCTGGCTAAGAGAGTGAGTTGATACCTTCCTTGGCCACCATCTGTTCGTAATAGATAAGTATTTATTTTTTAAAAGCAGAGACACAACAATGTGTGAATATTTTCAGGCCATTCTATATTAAATTGGGCATTTTTCTGTTTTAAAAGACAAGGCTCATGTTTCAGATTGTCTTTTGATATATTGAAAGCAACTTTACTGTTTCTTGAAGTATGATTGTATTTTTAATTGTGCTGTGGATAACTTTCAGATTTGAAGATGTATTTTAGTTTCTCTGTAGTGACTTTTAAAAAGGGATTAATCAGGTGTGCCAGAATAGGCAGAAATCCCCATATGTACAATTTAGGATGAACAGATACATATATTATATGTCAGTAAATACAGATAAATATTTATCATACACTGATATTTAAGTTCTTCAAAACTGCATTTGTATAATTTTGGAAAATTAAAGGGAGTATATATATTTGGTCTTATTTTCTTTTATTCTAATTTCTCTTTTCCTACTTTATTACCCTGTTAAGACTAATACAAATATTGGCACCTTTGTATGACTACCTGTTATTAATATTTGACACGAATATTTCTTAGAATAAAAAGGAAGAAGCAATGAGCAATGTTGCCATTTAAACTGAATAAGTGTTTTGTAATATCATCCATCATGATCCTGATTAACACGAGGATTATGGAGGGGGTGGGGAGAAGACACATACCACACAGTTTCTCTACCCAAAACCTGCATCTGTTCATCTGGCCCTGTGTGTTGTAAAGTAGCATAACCTACTGCCCTCTCTTCTTCTCTTTCAGCCCTCCCATTGTGGATGTAGCTGTGCTGAAATAACAGTGCCTTACGTAATACTTTTTCCTTCCTACGGGCAAGCTTTCTAAGTTACACGAGTATAATGCCTTCATGGCAGTAAACTCTGCCCACACTAGGGGTTGTACTAGCACAGCTATATCAGAGAAAAGTCACGCCCTCACCTAAATAGCTGTTATTAGAACAAAAATTGTGTGGCATATTTGACACAGCAGTACTTCACTTTTATAATACTTTTTCTGTGAATTTGGAAACACTATGTGGCATAACTTACACATTTCTAATAGAAATCATATTTCTGACACACTATGAAATTGTTTCCTCAGACTAGCATCACTTGCTCCTTTCTGCCCTGCATTATAAAAATAAAAATTAAGTACACTGCTTTCTGTTTGTCTGTAAATAATTTTAATTTGGTTTATAAAATGTTGCAAGCTTCAGCATGTAGAAGTGAAAACAGGTTTTTTTGTAGTATTGGTTTATGCAGTCCTAGCGAATTTGGGCGTCATCCTTGTTAGATAGTTCTTACCAGTAACACTGCACCACTTGGGAGTTGTGGTCTCCTTGTAATAAAGCGACAGGACATGTTAAATCCCACTTCAGAAACTGACTGAAGCTTTTAAATTTTATTTTACCATGTTTTGAGGAATTGGATAAATACTTTGTGTAGAAATAAATCCAAGCTGTTAATCTTAACCTGTAAAAAAACATTCTTTTAATACTGTCTAAAATTCAGCAAATGTAGTTTGAAGCAGGGGATTACAGAATTCTGTTGCCTACCTTATAGGTGACAGAATGAAAAGCTCTGGAAATACTACACCAAAACCCTCAGATTTTTAAGAGTTGCCTGTATGGAAGTTCATGAGCCCAAATAAAAAGAAGTCGGAGAGTCACTGATATGCACAACCTATACCAATGGAAAGAGCTGCACATCAAAGCATTTTTGTGTAGTATGACAGAACCTAAATGATGTCTCTGTACAGTATAGACTGACAATTTTGCAGACAAATAAAAATCTGGCAAAATTGCAGTCCAAACGCATTTGCCAAAAGGTATTTTGGGAACGTTTATCTCATTTGTCATAAATCCATGATTTATAGTAACCTAATTTAGATATTATAAGTGGAGAGATTACGGACTCTGTCTTCATTGGAAATAATGCAGGCCAAGAATTTGGGTATATATCCTGGAAATGCTGCAGTGTGTCCAATGCAAGACCAGTACAAACTTCTAAAGACACTGCTTCACTGAAATGTCCTTTTATGAGTAGGTACCAGACTTCCATGAGTCACGCTTTAAAATACTAGATTGAAACTCTTAGCATCAAGGCCTGACCTTGAGTATAATGGCCTTAAAAGTAGGAAAACCAAATTGATTTTGGACAAAAAAGCATGAAGAAAATGTGATCACCTTTGCTGTAACTGAACTCGTTTCAAGTTTTTTGAGGAAAAACATTGATCTACAACCCTGCAATATATAACAAAGAAATGTTTAATTACAAATATGATGTGGCTGATGCTCCTCTGCTATGGCATTGCTGTCCCCTGTCAGCCATCCGTTCCTCAAGGATCAGTGATATGATCAGCCTTAATTAAATTCTTAGTCATGTTGTCATAAGAAAAATCTCTGGGACTGGGATTCCCAGTAGTAGAATTTTCTGTACTGACTGGTCTGCATTTTCTATACCGGTCTGCTTCCCCTAAGCAGCTGGCCTGCTAAGAAGAATGACCCAGTTGGTAATCAGGATTTTATGGTTCGTAGGTGTAGTTGTCCCATGTAAGCTTGATCCATGTTCTGTCATCCGGTGTGATGTCACCCCAGTAGTATATGGAAAGGGAGAATAATTTATGTGCATTAAACATCATTCAGAGTAGGAAAAGTATTGCATAGCTCTTGGTATAAATAAATAATATATAATAAATAAATAATATAAATAAATATATGCATTATATTTAAAGAAATGCTTGGGTTTTGTTGGGTTTTTTTTCTTTAGACTAGAAAAGTGGTTGCTTTATCAATAAGTCATGCCAACAATCAGAAGAAAGAGACTGTAAAAGTACCCAACTATAACTTGTTGCTTGTTAATGCAGAGGTTTTTTTTCCAGCTATTCCTTAATGCTGTCCAAGAAAAAAGAGCCAATCCCACATCAGTGATCTCAAATACATGTTTGAAAGGATAAAAGGAATTAAGTTTTGTTCTCTCCTGTTTTTCAACAATGGAGTAGGA